AATAAAAAAATTGGTGGTTTTACTTTACATGATTGTTGTGCAGGTCTCCATAGCGAGCCAGCGTCGTTACGTTGAATATTGGGAGAAAACAGTTTCTCTAACTAAAGTGGTTAATACAATTCCTCCATTCATCAAGTTGCCTAAACCGAGCAGTCGAGAGCTTCAACACATTCGGTTATACGACACGGTCAACATTAATCAGGTCTTTGTTGTGGTCTCTGAGCTCCAAAAGGTATATAATATATGGGTTATAATTTAATAATAAAAAATATAAAATCTCCCACATTTGAGGGGAAAAAAAATTAGTTTATATTGTGTTGGACTGAAATTTCATTTGTCTTTTTTTTTTTTAGTTTTCTTTCTAAATTTGGTTATTATGCAGGTTCCCGGGCAGAGGTACGCGCCACCAGCCGAAGTTTCGAAGAGCTGTTGCAGACGAATTGGAAAAGATCATGAAAAATTATCCAATAAGCCTCGGTATTACTACTCATTTGTCGAGAAGGAAGAAGGCAAAGAAGAAGCTGTGGAGCCCCGTTTAGTAGTCCAAATGGACACCGAAAGTTCCATAATCTACCAAAAGAATTGTCTCGGTTATCATTATGAGAAACCCGTGCAAGTAAGAAGATACTAATAGCATTATGCGAAAACGTGCATATCGGTTTTGGATTTTCGTTTTTGCATAACATTTTAGTTCTTTTTTTATAAGCAAAAATGGCCTTATATATCTAACTTCTAATGTACAATTTTTTCTTTAAATGTCCGACAGGTAAAAGGGGACGTGCGATTGATTTTCTACGAGAAGCTGATCGGAGGTCGTTTATTCTACGTCTGCTTTAACACAGCTTTCATAACCGGCAGTTTATTGCAGGTAACTTTTCTTTTATTTTCTGTTGTCTTTTGATTTTCTGTTACTTATTTTTATTAACTACATATGTTGAAAAAAAAAAGTACGCATTTCTAATGTGTTTATACGGAAACTTGCAGTTCTCGGTTGGGGATTTAGACAAAGTGGGGAAAAGGGGTCGATCGATATGTGGGCCTTCATTTTGCCTTGAGCTGTTTTTCGCTCCCTCGTACGCTCCATCGAATGACGATGTTATTGTCGAATTTGAGTGATTTTTTGTATTATTGAGAGAAATTATTCAAAAGTAAATGTTTTTTTTTTTTTTT